AGATTTTCCCCAGTGATTCCAGTGATAAAATTATCAAGGCATTTCTCAAATAGGTGTTCACTGTGAAATGGTAGGTGTGTAAAGTTCATCCCACAAACAGGATCAGCAGACAAAGTTATTAAACACAAAATCCTGCAAACATGCAAAGGAGACATTATAAAGACTTGGTAAGGTACATTCTCTATAGCATCAATACAAAGCAATAAGGCCAAGGGCATCAGCTGCAGTTGTTCTATGAGGATAGGGTAATTTAAGATAGGCTGATGGTCTCAATTTTGTCCAGTGAGCAATAGTCTGGCAAATAGACAGGGCAGCAATGCTCTTTGCAGGTCTGGACCTGCAAGGGCAAAGGAGGCCTTTAGCCTAGGTTCACACCTATGCATTTTCCAGAAACACACAGCAGTCCATTTAACATGATTTCCTATGTTACAGGTTCACATCTCTGCATTTTCACCCGGTGCCTTTTTTGGAAAGGGTCAACATTGCGTTTTTGGTTCTATAGACTTCAATGGAGACGCTGTAGAAAAGCATGTAGTGCATTTTTGATGCTATTTGTGTTTTAATTTGCCTAGCAACAAGGAGAAAAAAAAAAACGCATCAAAATCGTGGCAAAAACGCATGTGAAAAAACACCAAACGCACTGCAGAAATGGATCAAATGCAAACTGCATAGGTGTGACCTTAGCCTTAAGAGGCTTCGGAACATCTATCAACATACCGAACAGGAACTGTAAAATGTTTACCGAGAACAGAAATGGCAGGAAATTCTACCAGAAAAGCCGATTTTTTATTAGATTCCTTTTCCATAGGATACACTTTAGCAAAAAGCTTAGGATTGGTGAATATCTTTTCAGAATTAGGCCAGTCCTCATGTACTGAACATTCAATTTGGAAATGGATAGGTATAGTATTAATTTGATTTTGCTAATCTCTTACTGCCCATAGAGGCTTGCTTTGGCTGTGAAGAATCAGGTGCTGCTAGGCAAAGCCTCATCTGCACCGTGCCAATCAGGGAGTCAATAGTGGAAAGGATCTATCAAGATATCAAGAAGCAATAGCATATGTGGCTCATAAAATGCATTGGTTGAAATATTCTCTGTAACTTCCATTACAGTATCTGCTTCCCCATCTCTTTCTTCCATTTCATCCTCAAACAAGTTTGTAGATACCAACTCTGAATCACGAACAAAGTCAGGGAGGAAAAAGAAAGTGTAGCATTTTTGGGCCTGGAAACCAAAGATTCAAGAAATGCCAAAAGTTTTCTGAATAGTTCAGGCTGTAGCAGAGAAACATGCTTTTGCAGGTAGGCCATATGGTGTGCATCTGAAAAGGAGATGGAGTTATATGAGTGGTGGTGTCATAATAAGACATTGGTAGTCTCAATATCGATAAAGAAAAGGTTACTGAAGTTACGAAAATTCTCTTAGAACAGACTAAAAATTTGTAAGTGATATGATGTACTGTAATGTATTTGTATTGTATTTTCGGGCGAAAACTGTACTGATTAAATGGAAATTGTAGGGAAATCGTATCCTTTTGTCCCAGCTCCCATGTGCCTGTGATCTGCTACTGCTTAAAGTGGTAGTAAACTCTCATTGCTTACTTCTATCTACCGGTAAGCTTATCAAAGAGTTTACCTTAAGGTAAAATTAATATCTCCTAAATGTGAACCGTTTAGGAGATATTCTAGCGAGCAGCAGCCGGTGATGTCACCGACACATGTGCTGTGGGGGAACAGCATGCCTGTGCCGTTCCTTTAGAGCTGTGGGCTGCGGCCGAGACTCCTGCACGCATGCATGGGAGTGACGTCATCACGGTTCGGCCATTCAGTGGCCGCAGCCTGCGAACTTGGAAGGAAGACCGGGTAAAGACGGAAACCTCTGCAGCGGTGACAGCATGCCGCTGGAAGGCTTCATTTTAAGGCCTGTCCTTCATAATGTGCTAATATGCGATGCATACTAGCACATTATACCTTTGCGTTGCATGGGGAAACTTTTTTTTTTTTTTTTAAAGATTTTACTACTGCTTTGTGAGGGGATCCCCGGTGGGGTACTCATGAAATAAAATGCGGAAGGCAGGGGCAGACTGACAACTCATGGGACACCTGGGCAATAGAGGATCATGGGGCCCCTGTGTCCTTGCCCAAACTCAAAAAAGCCTATGAAAAAGGTACCAGGGGCATCTCATGGGGCCCCCTACTGACCCCGGGCCCTAGGGCAGTCCCTGAGTTTCCAAATGCTTGGTCCGCCCCTGGCGGAAGGTATGGGGTATTACTAATATAGAATGCAAGAGCCATGATAACCCAGGTGCTGAGCATATTCCTGTCACTGTCTCTGTTGCGGAAGGCAGCAGGAAGTACAAGAAACATGCTGTGTGCATTTTCAGCGAATATGGTGGGTGGCAGTCCATCAGTAAGAAGACGAGTTATCACAATATCATCATCACAACCCACCAAGTTTAACATTAATTAGATATTACTTACTGCACCAAAAACATTACAGTCAATCACAATGTGGAGTAACACAATAAAGTGAATAAAGCTGGCCATAGATGGTTCAAATGTCGGCCGATCCCTGCTGATCAAAACCATCTATAGACAGTCTGATTGTAACCAATTAGATTATTGTACGATTTGGATACAATCAGCATGTTGGATTTTTACATGCAATTATTGCCAGTGGCTATAGTCGCTAGCAATAATCGTGTTCTCCTGGCAGGGATGGCGTACCCGTCAGGTGAACACAATAGCCCCAAGGGAGGGATTCCCCCATCAACACTGACTGTGTTGCAGGAAAGAAAATCACAGTCTATGGCCTGCCTAACTCCCCATTCCTCTATGTGCATGTACTGTATCCCAAGTACTGCAGGTTGTCTAATACTGGCCAGGAACTGGTCCCGAAATTCAGGGAAACACTGTCGTACCTTATCCATGTCCCAGGGCTCATTAGCGGTCCAGGCTTTGCTTGTCACAATGGGCATACCCTGAAGGGGCCATCAAGGTTTAGAAACTAAAGTGATAATCCATGGCCCTGGACCCATATAGCACCCTACGGCTAGCTACAGGTGTTGCACTTTGTGCCAAGGTGAGTGCCTAACACATTAAAACTGGAATCTCTCAGAGAGGGTGGAGTTTAATGAGCGTGCATTATAGGTGGCCCCAGCAAGTTTTTTGCCAGTGTTCAATCTCCTGAAAGTTGCCTGCATATAACCCATGGTCTATGAATACAAGCCCTGTGTCCTGTGCTGTAGGATTAAGATAAGAAATTATAGACTTATTATCATCACATGTACTCACGGAGTAATCGGAACAAAACTATTTTTAAAAACGCTGTCTTTTAAAGGTGTCATCCTGCTTCCATATGCTTAATACACCTGGACAAAGAAGATGTGTGGTAAATCCTCGTCATCAGTATGTGATAGCTGAGCAGCCAACAATCCGGTAAAAAATAAAAACAAATCTCTGGCTGCTGTAATCATCACAACATAAGGGTCCTTTCACAGGGGTGTTCTGTTATTTTTTTTTTTTTTTTCGTCAGTTTAGGCACGTTTTTTTCAAAGAAAAAAATGGATGAGTTTACATCCGTTTACATTCGGTTTTCCATCTGTTTTTCATACGTTTAGATCCATTTACATCCTTTTTTTGTCCATACCGGGGGTTTTTGCGGATGAAAAATAGGGTTTTCTTCCATTCAAAAAAACGGATGTGGATATTAACGGATGTAAAAAGATGTTCCTCCGTTTACATCCGCAAGTCCATAGAAAAAAAATGGGTCCGTTTCTCATCCGTAAACGGAAAAATGGACATACGGAACGCCCATGTGAAAGGGGTCTAATGGAAAAGATAGATGCAGAGTTTCTGAGGATAACTGCACTCCGACAGTAAAAAAAAAACCAAGCTTATGCAAAGAGCAACCCCAGAAAAGTTAAGTAGTTGCAAAGGGGGTTTTATTTTGCCTTTCTTTGAGTCAAAGCTGTAGGGGTTGCGAGATGCTGAACTTAATGGGCATTAGTGGTGTTTTAACTGTTCAGTGATGTCTAATCTTAGCCAGCAAATGCCACAGATTGTGTTAACTGCAATCCACAGAGGCCAGAACTCAGGAGCACTCAGAGGATTACTGGGAGAACTTTCTCTGAAGCCTGCGTTGTGTCATTTCTCTCTCCCTCTCTGCTTCTTCTCCAACCGCACTTAAGCTTCCAAAGCAGGTTTAAACCTGATGGGTAACTGAGAACATTTTAATACAGTTTTTTTGTTTTTGTACATGAAGCTTTTTGTAGACGGGGACAAGATGCCTACAGAGAGTGTGTTTAGAAATTCCTCTCCAGTATCAGAAGCAAGTGTTTAGAGCTCATTAGATTACAAACAAAAAGGGTAGTCTGGCACTACAGCAATACCTGGCTGAAAAAAATCCGATTCAAAAATGTGGACGATTTTGAATCGGACGCTTTTTTTTTTTTCCTTTCAATTTTGTTTTCTTTTATTGAGGCAGTACCAGGGGCGGACTGACAACTCATGGGGCCCCCGGGCAATAGGGGATCATGGGGCCCCTGTGTCCTTGCCCAAAGTCAAAAAAGCCTATGAAAAAGGTACCAGGGGCATCTCATGGGGCCCCTTACTGACCCCGGGCCCTCGGGCAGTGCCCGAGTTTTCAAATGATCAGTCCGCCCTGGGCAGTACGTTTCATTTTTAGTAATCCATGACAACAAATTATATTGCCGTATTTCGTGATATTGTCAAAAGATGAATTCTGATTTGAGGTTATAGGCTACTGCATTTTATTATAGTTACAATCTTTTGCAGAGATACTTTTATTATGTCCATTATTGTATATTGTAGGATCATATGAATTACTGTTACAAACCTGCATTTTATTGAAAGAAGAAATGCAAACAAGCAAGTCATAAATGTTTCAAATACAAAGCCCACCACCAAGCTATGAGAGCAGAAAGCATACTGCCGAGCAGAACAGACACAGGCTGGAGAGGATTCTGTGCAAGCTTTACCTGTCCTTTATCACACAGAGAATTCTCCAAGTCTTCAATTTTGGCCTGACATCGCAGCAGATCAGCCTGGAGCTGTTCCCGAGTCTGCAGAGGATGAAAATCGATCAGCAATTAACTCTATATACACTAAATTGGCACAGACATTAAAGGAAGTCTGTCTGGAAAGCAATACTGTATATGAGCTGCTGTAGCTAACATTTTAGCAAGTGTGAGTTCTGGGCCTTTCATATATATTGTGACTTCACTGCCTAGTGGTCATTGACCTGAATCAAGCATATCATACTTTCCAACACCTGACAAGCATGGTTTATTTCGGGGCAACAGATCATTAAGCAGTGATACCAGGATATTCATGAAAGACCCTAAAGCTTGCATTTTAAGTAAGTCAGCAATGGTGAGCTATTAATTGCTATCTTGACTGCTTCCTATAAATAACATGTAATATTTAATCTTAGGGACCTTTCTACAAATATACAATTTTTATTTCTATAAGTCCCTACACCGCTCTACTGGATGAAAATACACCAAAAAGTGATATATATATTTAAGAAAAAAAAAATATGTATAAAGCAAAAAAATAAATAAAAATGTGTACTAGTACACTTCTGCTACTATATATCCCATAAATCAAGTGCAATCAAAACAACCAATTGTAATAGTCACTAGTAGCGCTGTGATAGAACCACAAAATTACCAAAACAGCTAAAATACAGAATAAAAAGTGCTCACAGATCATAATAAATCGTGTGAGTGAATCCAGCATTAAAATAAACATCACTTAAAGGTCCAGAGTAAGGCCACTTTCTCACAAGCAGACCGATGGGGTCTGCCTGTCCGTTTTTCAGGCGGATCCAATCAGTCCATCCATAGACTTCTATGGATCAGTGGATGTCAGCTGACACCCACCGGCATTTGATTCGATCTTGTACGCCAAAAACAGATGGATGGGGATCTGTTCCCCACCCATCCAGCGGATCGAATCAAATGACAATCTGGTGGAAATGGACAGGCGGTCCATTTCCATCAGACCGTCCCATTGAACTCAACAGGCCGTGTCTGTGTCCATTCTACAGCAGCAAAGTGGACGAAGACCTGTCATCTGCCTGCTCAGCGGGGATCAGCGGAGAGATCTCCCACTGAGCAGATGGATCACACTGATGAATCCACCCCGTCTGAAAGGGGCCTTAGTGTCTTCTTCCACTACAATAGTTGTAACTTCATATTTGCAGACTCCTCCCAATCCAAATAAAACTTACCAGATGTTATTGCCTGTTTTTCAGATGGCTCAAAGCATAAATCTTGCTGAGCAGATAACTGCAGTCCAAATATGGTTACACAAACATCAAGCTGAATTTTGTAAGTTAAAGTGGACCTAGCATCATATACAGTTGTGTTCGAAATAATAGCAGTCCAACATCACTTACCAGATCAATCACTGTTTTTGTAATAAATTATATTTCTACATGGGAAATAATTTACTAGTAAGTGTAGCAGAGTAGTAGAAAACCAACAGACCCAACAATAATGACATGCATGCTGCTGATTCTGAGTAATTGAATCATTCATTGAAAGGGGCATATGAAAAAAAAAAAAAAAAAAAAAGAAAAAAGTATGGAGTTCAATTAGTGAGTTCATTCAGACTGTGAAAAAACAGCTGGTCCTTATTTAAGGACAAAGGCAGCAAATGTTGCACATGCTGTGTATAGTGCATTTCTCCCTGAAAATCTGAGTAAAATGGGTCTTTCTAGACATAGAAGAACAACAGTACTTTGATTAAAAAGCTGATTGGAGAGGGGAAAACATATAAAGAAGTGCAGAAACTGATGCTGCTCAGCTAAAACGATTTCAAATGTTTTAAAATTGCAACCAAAACCAGAAAGACGTGGAAGAAAACGTAAATACTACCATTTGAATGGATCAAAGACTAGCCATACACATTGAACACATTGACTGGCCTAAAGAGAAATGTTGCAACATTTTGTGGACTGATGAAAGTAAAATTGTTTTTGGGTCTAGGGGCCGCAGTTTGTCAGACGATCCCCAAACACTGAATTCAAGCCACAGTACACTGTGAAGACAGTGAAGCATGGTTGCGCAATCATCATGATATGGGGAAGTTTCTCATACTACGGTGTTGGACCTATTTATCGCATACCAGGGATCATGCATCAGTTTGAAGAGGTCACGTTGCCTTATGCCGAAGAGGAAATGCCCTTGATATGGGTGTTTCAACAAGACAATGACCCCAAACACAACAGTAAGTGGGCTAGCTAGGGGCACCTTGTTTGTCAGACGACCAGACCAACAAGATTGAATTATAAGCCACAGTCAATCACTGGACCTTAACAATAGAAAACTTGTAGGTGCAAGCATCAAAAAATGGGATGTTTTCTCTACTACGGTGGTTAAAACAGAGAAACCTATTTATCGCAAACCTGGATGTAGTCATGATCAGAATACCTGGAGGGTCTCGGTTGCCTAATGGGAGGGATGCCCTTGATATGGGTGTTTCAACAAGACAACGACCCCAAGGGATGGGGAGGGAGTGAGGGCAGCAACCTGGGTTCCAGACCAACAAGGTGGGAAGGGAGGGAGGGAAAATCCCTGGACCTTAATCTTATAGAAGGTGGGGTAGGTGAGGGAAATGCGGTGTGGGAGGGAAAAACGGGAGGGGGGTGGGATGGAGGGAATGAAGGTGGGGGGAGGGAGGGAAAGGTGGGAAGGGAGGGGGAGGGAAAGGTGGGAAGGGAGGGGAGGGGAGGAAAGGTGGGGAGGGAAAGGTGGGGGGTGGGAAGGGAGGGAGGGAGGGAGGGAAAGGTGGGAGGGGAAAAGGGAAGGGGAGGGAGGGAAAGGTGGGAAGGGAGGGAAGGGAAAGGTGGGAAGGGAGGGAGGGAGGGGGGAAAGGTGGGAAGGGGGGGAAGGGAGGAAAGGGTGGGAAGGGGGGGAAAAGGGGGAAGGGAGGGAGGGAAGGGTGGGAAGGGAAAGGTGGGAAGGGAGGGAGGGAGGGAAAGGTGGGGAAGGGAGGGAGGGAGGGAAAGGTGGGAAGGGAAAGAGGGAGGGAGGGAAAGGTGGGAAGGGAGGGAAAGGGAGGGAAAGGTGGGAAGGGAGGGTGGGAGGGAAAGGTGGGAAGGGAGGAAAGGGGGAAGGGTGGGAAGGGAGGGAGGGAAAGGTGGGAAGGTGGGAGGGAGGGAAGGGAGGAAGGGAGGGAAGGGAGGAAGGGTAAGGGAAGGGGAGGGAGGAAGGGAGGGAGGGAGGGAGGGAGGAGGGAGGGAGGGAGGAAGGGAGGAAATTGTATACAGACCAGTGGACAGCCCTGATGCATCTGACTGAGCATGTGAGTCCAACCTCCCTTCTCCCTTCCTTCCACCTCCCCCACCCCTCCTTTCCTTCCACCTTCCTTCCAACCCCCCCACCTTCCTTCCCCCCCCCCACCCTCCCCCCCCTTCCACCCCCACCTTCCTTCCTTCCACCCACCCCTCTGATTCTTCCCTCCCTTCTTTCCCTCCCCCTACCCTTCCTTCTTTCCACTCATCCCTTCCTCCCACCTCTCCCTCTCTGCCTTCCCTACAACCCCTCCCTTCCTTCCATCCCTTCCTTCCACCCTCCGCTCCTTCCCTCCCTTCTTTCTTTCCACCCTCCTTTCTTTCCCTCCACCCCTCCCTTCTTTCACCTCTCCCATCCTTCTTTCCACCCCTCCCTTCCTTCTTTCCATTCCTCCCTTACCTTCCTCCCACTCGTCAATTCCACCCTCCCTTTCCTCCCACCCCTCCGTCTCTGCCTTTCTTCCACCCCCTCCCTTTCTCCTTTCCTTCACTCCACCCTTCCTTCCTACCCTTCCTTCCTTGCACCCTCCCCCTCCCCCCTCTCCCTTCCCCTCACTCCCTTCCTTCCTTCCTTCCACCCCTTCCTTCCACACCTTCCTTACCTCCCTCTCACCCCCCTCCCTTCCTTTCCATCCATCCCCTCCTTCCCACCTCCTCTTCCTTCCACCCCCCACCCACCGTCCCTGCCTTCCTTCCATCCCTTCCTTCCTTTTTTTCACCCCTCCCTCCCTTCCCACCGTTCCCTCCCTTCCCACCTTCCTTTCCACCTCCCCCCCACCCTCCCTGCTTTCCTTCCATCCCTTCCTTTCTTCCACCTCTCCCTTCCCCCTTTCCTTTCCACCCCACCCACCCTCCCTGCCTTCCTTCCATCCCTTCCTTTCTTCCACCCTCCCCTCCCACCGTCCCCTCCCTTCCCACCTTTCCCTCCCTCCCTCCCTTCCCACCTTTCCCTCCAGGTATTCCAGCCCAGGATCATTACACTACATGCCACAATTTCTTTGCGTTTCTCTGTTTTACCACAGGAACAACATTTTTTTATGTCACCCTACAAGTTTTCTATTGATTAAGGTCCAGGGATTGAGCTGGCCGCTCCATAATGTTAACTTGTTGGTCTGGAACAAGGTGCTGCTCACTTACTGTTGTGTTTTGGGTCATTGTCTTGTTGAAACACCCATATCAAGGGCATTTCCTCTTCGGCATAAGGCAATTGTGACCTCTTCAAACTGATGCATGATCCTGGTATGCGATAAATAGGCCCAACACCATAGTATGAGAAACTTCCCCATATCATGATGATTGCGCAACCATGCTTCACTGTCTTCACAGTGTACTGTGGCTTGAATTCAGTGTTTGGGGATCGTCTGACAAACTGCGGCCCCTAGACCCAAAAACAATTTTACTTTCATCAGTCCACAAAAATGTTGCAACATTTCTCTTTAGGCCAGTCAATGTGTTCAATGTGTATGGCTAGTCTTTGATCCATTCAAATGGTAGTATTACGTTTTCTTCCACGTCTTTTTGGTTTTGGTTGCCATTTTAAAGCATTTGAAATCATTTTAGCTGCCTATCAGTTTCTGCACTTCTTTATATATTTTCCCCTCTCCAATCAGCTTTTTAATCAAAGTACTGTTGTTCTTCTATGTCTAGAAAGACCCATTTTACTCAGATTTTCAGAGAGAAATGCACTATACCCACTAGATGGAAGCCATGACAGGCGAGTATGAAGTGAGCATTGAAGCATTATTACTGTATCGTTTTAAGCAACGGGGTGGCTTTAAAACATCAACTGTTCCTTTACTGGGTAATAAGAATTGATAATATGGTTGTGTTTTAGGCACCTTTCACATGAGTGGATCGTTCGGGTCCACCTTTTTGTTTTTCAAGCAAACCCGATCTGACGCTTCATTGCTCTCTCTGGAGCGGCAGGTGTAAAGAGACATATGTCCATTTACACCCACCTGCATCCAAATCACTCTGCTAAAAACAGATGGATAGGGATCGTTTCCCCATCGGTCTGGAGGACAGGCGGTCTGTTTCCATCCGAAAGCCCAAAAAAGGACTCTGCATAAGTGGAGCAGACACACAGACCTGTTATCCACTTGCTCAGCGGGCAGATCCCCCACTGGGAAAGTGGATCTGCTGATATATCCGCCCCATGTAAAAGGGGCAATACAGAAACAAGTAATAAACATTCAATAATTCAAAAGCAGAAAAGTTCAGTCCAAACAAACATACCCTTGCTTCTCGTTCTGCATCCAATGTTCCCCCTACTTGCTCTTGGAGTAAGGCATAGGCTCTCTGTAGCGCTTGGTACTCGCGTGTCAGCTGACGAAACCTTAAATCAGCCTCCTCTTTGGGGGTGCTCTTGAAGAGGAAACAAACATTTCACCTTGTTTTACTTACAGGTTCATGAAATGAAAATGTTTCACTTTTCCTTATTATCTGGACTAATTTAACAATTAGGCACAGGAAGCATGTGCCTATAGGTGGAAGAGGCAAAACAGGCAGTTTTTCCCTGTATAATCATTGACTGCACGCTCTTCCAATTATTGGAGGGAATATTCATCTCATGCAAAATTATTTACACATTATCAGAACATATTAAACCAAGTTAGGACCAAGAAAGCAAGTAATTGTCCTGTGTAAAATAGGTGATGGTATTACAGCCTTGGTCTTCATCCCATTTAGGAACACTGCATGTTGCTAAATTATGACCTGCACCTCGCAGGTCCATAAACAAACACAATTATATATATATATTTTTTAAACAGGCTTAGATTCAGATTTGTTTTATATGACAAGGGGTAGGTACATGCACTGTCACTCTGCCATTGAGCTGTACTGAGGATTTCACATACTGTTCAAACAGTGCAAATACTTGTTCGGCTGAATTAATTTGTTTTGAATTGACAGGTTACATTCTCTGTAGTCTCTACACCAGCCAGCCATTCTCAACCATGGAACCCTAGGGTTCCTAAAAAGGTTGCTAAGGAATCTTTGACCTATAGCGGATTGACCTCCTATTTGACGGTGCCTGCATAGTTTCAGGGCCAACAAGACTAGGCAGAGCCAACAGCATGACACCAATGATCTTTTTAGTTGTCTTAAGTGTGGCATTCTGACCATCACTGTAAGGGTTGAATTCTTCCTCTTGGGCACCAATACAGGGCATATTTCCATTTGAACCCTGAAGAATTGGATTTAGTAAGCGTTCCATGAGTCCTGAAAATTGTTTTGGGGGTTTCTCTGTGATAAAACAGTTAAGAAACACTTGTCTACACATTTTATTCTGACAGCACAGCTAACACAGTATGAACATGTGTGATAACTTTCATTTAAAAGCAAATTTGGAGCTTGGTACTGTGGATAACAGCATTCAAACAGGCCTTGCAATTCCGCTCCTAAATCCCGACCTGGCTTACTAAACACGGCCTCTCTGAAGCTCTTACCACCATAAAGAACAATGGTTAGCAAGTCTTACTTCTTTAGAACAAGATTCTGGTCACAGCAGAATCTTGACCTGCACACTTGCAGCTTTAAAGGTGTCGAAAGAGAAGTGGATGCAGCATCGGTCTGATCTGTCCCCCGCCGGCTCTAAGTGTGAGAACCCAGCAATCACATGACCGCTGATCGCCGAGTTCTAACAGCCGCCGTGAGCAGCGAGTGGGACTGTCAGTCACTGATGTCTGCTCTGCCCCCCAGCACTCACTGGAACGCTAGGCTTTGGAGGGGGAAGGGAGCGGCTAGCTCAAGCGGTCAGCGGATCGTTGAAAGGCTGAGCCAGGTACCACTCCAGACTCTGGGGTGCATTCCAACTTTGAAGTAGTTCCCCAGCCTGGACCAGCTGAGTGACTTCAGCCCGCTGTCAGCTGAAAACAAGTCACTGGACTGCAGAACGATCAGCACTGCTGTGATCCATAGGAGAAGTACAGCCAAAAGAGCTTTGGCTATACATCTCCTTTAAGGAGACCCTTTTTAAGTGGGGAAAGCCGATGGTGTCAATTCAGTTTTAATATATAAAAATTACACTTCAGGGACCCAACTGTATTTTGTTCCTTGTATCACTGAAACTGCTGGGGTTGGAGGTCGCTACATAAGTCACTTCCAACCAGAGTATTTGTGGGAGGACATCCTATGGCTTCATGTAAAACTGTATAGATTCACCTTTCTAGCAGCTGTCCAGAAATTCTGTTTGAGTTATAAGGTTCCTGGGTTAGGTTATCCACCCACAAAAATGTGCAAAAAAAAAAAACTACAGGTAGGAGGAGTGACCATGAAAATCTAACATTGAGGCTACACACGTGATATTTTATCCTAGAGGTAAAAAAGAAAAAACATTTAAGAAGGGATAACCATTCTAGTGACTTTTACTATTTAAAACGTCTGGCATTAATCTTACATTACAGCTTTGCCTCATTGTTGAAAATTGAGAATTCTCCTTTCTGTAGTTCATCTCCTGTACTTTGAGTACCACAGAAATGAGGGAACGATCACAATAGATTTTTGTAGTGTTTTTATATAGATCTATGTAAGCTCTAAAACAAGGTAATACAACCTGCATGTGCAGCAACAGCCTGAAGCCTGCAGAAAATGTATTTAACTAGTTCAGGAGGGGAATACATACATCTATATAAAAACACTACAAAAACCTTATTCTACTTTTATAGGCATGCTCAGCATTAGGTAATCTAATGTGATAAAATCAAATGCGGCTTTCATCAAGTACCCAGGAGAAAGGTTAGATCTCAGACCTTTACCGGCCAGTCACTAGTACCCTATTTCCTGACTCTCTTATGTAGCCAAATGAAAGAATGATTACACTACTCAATTTTCCACCAATGACTGGGACACCATGTTAGATAATATACATAAATGCACAAATTTATTATCGGTCAGAGAGATAGCCTTTAACCTCCCTAGAGGTCTGATTATGTCCATATTTCTGTGCTCAAAGAGGTACTTTTTTTGCATGGAAATATGTATTTTTTTTTATTGTAGGCCTGTAATTTTTAGGAATAACTCACTGAAAATCTGTCCGAAACAAGAGTCTAGTAAACATCCCAGGTATGTTAAAATTTGAAACATGAAATCATAAATTATAATTTAATAAATAATCATAAAAAATAATATAATAATAAATTTAATTCAATAATATAATCAAACCGAAAACACTGAAATGTGAAATATAGCGCCAAGTTCGCATCACTGAGCAAATTCGCAAAATCGTTTTCCGTGTCCGATGATGAATTTCCCCACGAATCATTATAACGCAATTGTGCAAGTAGTTCTAATTTACTATCTCTGTTCTCTAGCTGGTCTAAAACCGATTTTGACCTAAAAGGGACGCTTTTTGGATGCCATGGACTTTTCTCAGTTTCCAGGCAGAAAGAGCAGTAAAAATGCAGGCAGGGCACAGGACAAAGCACTAGGGACAAAATGTATGTGAAATGGTTTGATACAGTAATGTTTTACTATGTTATTTTAGTGAATTTCACTTTTTGTCATTTTCAAATTTCCCGCCAGTTCCGTCCCTGTATGTCCCGACGTCACAGGGGACGGAACCCAGAAGACAGATGCCGGCATCCGCTGGAGGACATTACAGGGGACACTGCCAGGGGTCATCGCGGGAGCGCAGGACACGTTAAGAGAAGAACAGATCCCAGAGCAGTGCCGCATGGTATTTCCGAGTGTAGCTTGGGGTTACCGCTTGTGGTACTGAAACTTTACCCCAAGCTACACTCAGCAATACCGCCAGGGAGGTTAAGTTACTGACCAGATGGTATTATACACCCTCCAAGTTTCACGCTATATACCTGGGGGTCTTAGAGTTGTGCTTTCATGGATGCCCAGTTAGTTCCCCAAACATTTTCTGGGACTGCTGGAAGTTGACCCCAGCGTGGAGTCTATAGCCTCGGAAATTTAGGCCAACCATTAACCTTAAAAGAGAAGTATGGACTTTGTAAAAAAACATTCATACTCACCTAGGTGGATGCAACGGGATGGATCCTGAGCATATAGTTGAGATCATTTCCGCGCTTTGACCGGTTCTGTAACATGAGCCGACAACGGGCTTTAGTCCATCGTCAGCTGAAAACGGGTCACAGGAGAGCAGAACAAACTGCACTCCTGTGATCCTTTGGAGAAGTATAGCCAAAAGAGTTTCGGCTATACTTCCCCTTTAATGCTGTCCATGTGCCTTCCTGGAAAGGATCCTTTACACATTACAAGATAAACTGTCAAGGTTCTCTACTAAATGGTGTATCTGGATTTCTAAATGTCAGTCTTTTTGATATAACTCAAGGTTTAACTGATGTACATGTGCTTACCCAAAATGGCTGGCTATGGATTTTTGTTATCCCTTTATCTATGGTATCTGTTGATAATCTTATATTACTCTTTAGTGTACCCCCATACTGGTGCTCTCATTGCGCATCTTTGTTATTTTAAGAAATGTTTTTATGCTTGATGTGCAATGTGCAGTCTATTACTCTGCCTTTGTATACTTCCATCATGATGGTTTTGTACTGATTTCATATTTTCTCAATAAACAGTTTGTACACAAAATAACTAAGCAAGTACATGAGCCAGTTGATTTGATATTATTACACATGCAGTCTATGCTGCTGGCTCAGTAGTGTGGCACAGTGACTGTGCGTACTGCTGCTCTCTCTCAGTGCAAGTCTATTAGGTTGCTCTTACTTTTGAAAACAAAAACTCTGGGTTGTTTATATTGCATTTTTAGTAGCTCTTTATAAAAGGCAGGCCATGCAGAGCCTCATGGTAAAACACTCCTTATGACTATATGGTCTTTAGGGGGCTTAAAATGTATGTATAAAACTCTTAGAAAGATAGAGTAGGGAATGGTCCTGTCTGTTGATTTTTTTGCTGTGTGTACCATTGGGGAAATTTCCCTCAACTTCCTGTCCAGGAGGCACAAGAGGAAGTCTATATAAAGTGAAGGGAATGTCTCAAAAGACAGTTGTCATTGGACCAGTCATCCCCAATGGAAGATTTACCTTTTACTCATGACAGCTCTCTTAATGTCCCATCATTTTTTGTCTTCAGAACAATTATAGAAAGTGGATTTTTTCTAGCAATAAAATCTTATGACAATAAATCTGTGGCAGGGGCTCTAATACTTATGCTTATACTATTTTACCTAGAAAGTGATACAGGTTTCTTCCATGTCGGCATTTAAGATTTTGAATGAAGAAATTTCCAACTTGGAAAAACCTCTATACAGCTAGATTTCCCTTTTCTATAGAAAAAGAGGGAACAAATCTTGCACAGTGGGTTTACTGTAGCCTTGAACCAACAAACTCAAGGAAGCAAAGGCAGGACACAGTGGTGTGGTAAGCATGGAATGCCATACTAGTTTAACCACAAATTGAAATATCTGCCCATCTATGGCCAGACTGAGGGCACTTGTAGACATGGGGCTGAGCTTGTTAGTTTTGCAGAGCCCAGTGCGAAGGAACTTAAAAATCTGAAAAAAGCCCCTGAGAGCATCAAAGCCAAGTGGATGGAGGTTGGCAGTGCCAAGCCAAGCCAATGCTGATGCAGTTGGGGCCTAACAGATCAATACAACATGTGACAGGAACTGAAGGGAATACAACTTACATCTTCAATATCTTCTTCAGGCGTTGCAGGCGTCCTGTCTGTTCTATCAGTGGTATAGGAGGTGACTGAAGAAGTTTCTGAATCAACAGAGTCTTCATCAAATCCAAAAAACGTCTCCACAACATGCCTCTAAATAAGAAAAATGGATATTATTATTCTGGTATAAAAAACAGCTGTACATTAAAAGGTTACCTCAGAGTGATCTATTTCTTAATGATTCATATATAATTATAATTAACACCCAATTCTGCTGGATTTCTTAATTTTGCCCCTTAACTCATGACACATTAAAAAGAAATATGCCTAATGGATTTCTACTGTCCAAAGACATGATAATTTACAAATCTTGAGACAAAATGCATTAAGTATTGCAGTCTGGTGGACCTGTTGCCTGGTGGACTGTGCACAGTTCATGGCTTTCTCCATACTCATTTCGGTGCTTTGATTGTTTTCACTTCTGTTTAGACAAGGTTGCTCAAGCTCTCTCTCTTATTTTCCCGGTTTCAGAAACTATTAAGTATATTAACCAAATAAAAACTGAAATATTAGCTTTGCGTGGAATTACCTTTTAATAGCTGATTAGCGTAGGATCTATAGTTTTTTTATTGTTTAAGTTATTGACAGATTTTTTTTTTTGGATTAACGAACTAAACACTAATATATAAACACATAAAATATTATGCTGGATTATCTATAGGTGAAACTCGAAAAATTAGAATATCGTGCAAAAGTTCATTTATTTCAGTAAAGCAACTAAAAAAAGGTGAAACTAATATATGAGATAGACTCATTACATGCAAAGCAAGATAGTTCAAGCCGTGATTTGTCATAATTGTGATGATTATGGCCCTCCAGCTGTTGGGAGTACTAAAAGTCGCATTATGCCTCTGCGAATCTTGCCTGTGGCTGTCAGAGTCTTGCAAGGCCTCATGGGACTTGCAGTTCCTCAACACCTGGAGGGCCATAGTTTGGAGACCCCTGTCCTAGAGTAACTGCCTGTCTCCTGGAATCTCCTCCATGTTCCTGAGACTGTGCTGGGAGACACAGCAAACCTTCTGGCAATGGCACATATTGATGTGCCATCCTGGAGGAGTTGGACTGCCTGTGCAACCTCTGTAATCTCCAGGTATCACCTCATGCTACCAGTAGTGACACTAACCCTAGCCAAATTCAAAATTAGTAAAAAAACAGTCAGAAAAGATGAGTAGAGGAAAAATGTTGGTGGGCTCCACCTGTAAAACCATTTCTGTTTTAGGGGTCGTCTCATTGTTGCCCGTCTAGTGCACCGGTTGTTAATTTCATTAACACCAAAGCAGCTGAAACTGATTAACAACCTCCTCTGCTACTTACCTTACCAGATCAATATCCCAGGAGTTTAAATTGACTTGATGCTGTACTCTGATTAAAAAAGTGTCCCTTTAATTTTTTTTGAGCAGTGTATATATATCTAAATCTATATTTGCTTGATACATTTACATGCTTTAATTCCTCCTTAATGAGGTCTTTCACACAAATCAAATTGATTGAAAAGATTACAATTTAAAAGTGGCTTTTTGTACAATTGGTTTAATATTAGCAACCTTTTAGAAGGGAAACTGTGGGAGGGATGGAGTTATATGAGGGGGGCACAGTTATATATTAGAGCTGAAATGTAAACCCCTGTATATTAAATATATTTAAGGACAAAAAAGGGCTGCACTCCTTTCTAAATGTACTGCGACTAGATCACATTGTACTTTTGTGCCATGTGATACAGTGCACGCAAAAGGCACTGCATTTGCAATCTGCGTTTGGGGTGACTTTAACATTGTACTGACACCAGCTGAAGATCGTTAGGAGAGTGAGTTCTGAATGTGGTGCAGGAAACCTGCATGGAACACGGGCTTTCTACAGTGAATGGGACCAAAGGGTTTGACTTTCAAAACTTATTTGGGTTCAAACTTTGATCCTTTTCAGTAAACAGAAAAACATTCTAAGAAACTCAATTACACAACGATAAAGAAAAAAAAAAAAAAAAAAAAAGATTGAAAGTATAAGTTTTCTCCAAAGAAACTGGCAAAGTTAAATATCAGTTGTGTTCGGGTGTTATGGCTGTAGCAGCTGCAGCATTTATACTCTTCACACAGAAATTTACGAGCAAAACAGGGAACGTGGAAAGAAAGCAAGAATTTGTGAAATAGAGGGAGATGCTTCTAAAGGAACACATCACTGTATACTCTTGAGAACTGTATTCTTTTTGTCCCAAGGTACCATATGATATAATGAGCTTACCCTAACTGGAAAAGTCATTACCTCCCGAGTAAAACAATAATTAGCACACTACAGACCTCACATTATACACAAAGCCTTGACTTCCTTAAACAGAGGTTGTATTACAAGTCTGCAGGAGACGAGAATGACTGAAATTTTAACTATCTGTGCTGCGGTCGTGAAGAAATTCTCTAAATGTAAATCGCTGGCAGTAACTAAATCGAGGAAGACTACCCCAAGATTGCAATGCAAAAATTGGCCTGTATCAGGAAAGGACTCGGTTGGAGGGCAAGGTGGCATTTGCCCTTGGGCCAGTACTCATAAAATGTATTGGGATGGTGCCCTAAGAGGACATACTTCCCTGATCAGCATTAAGGTTCATTCACACAGGTGATCAGATCTGTCCTCTGATCTTTGCCGCTGTCTGTTGTGTGTGTGAAACCGCTTCGGAGCTTTGTGCAGGCAGCCCATATAAATGGATGCACATGCAACGGCTGCACAGGCTTACACTATATTGCCAAAAATACCCCTCCAATTCATTGGATTCAGGTGTTCCAATCACCTCCATGGCCACAAGTATTTAAAATCAAACACTTAGGCATGTAGACTGCTTCTACAAACATTTGTGCAAGAATGCATCACTCTCAGGAGCTCAGTGAATTCAAGCGTAGTACCGTGATAGGTTGCCACCTGTGCAATAAGTCCATTCCTGAAATTTCCTTGTTACAAAATATTCCACGGTCAACTGTTAGTGGTATTATAACAAAGTGGAAACAACTGGGAATAACAGCAACTCAGCCAAGAAGTGGTAGGCCACATAAAATGACAAAGCGGGGTCAGCGCATGAAGCGCACGAAGCGCACAGTGCACAGAAGTCGGCAACTGTGTACAGAGTCAATAGCTAAAGACCTCCAAACTTCACGTGGCTTTCAGATTAGAACAACAACAGTGCATAGAGAACTAAGACTGGGATGCCATTAAAGTTCATGTGCGTGTAAAAGCAGGCTTTCCAATACTTTGGCAACAAAGTGTATATTATACAGTGTCATAGGAGAAGATATTGCTGTACAGACCAAGCAAAGGTTTAACTAAGTGTTTAAAAAATATTTTTTTTAAACCATATTTATCTAGGTGGATACAGCATCGATGTGTTCTCTACCGCTGCCCCCCCTCCAGCTCTGTGAAGGGGGAGCGAACAGTTCAGTTTTGGGCACCAATTCACAAAAAGAACATTGGGAAACTGAAGAAAGTGCAGAGAAAAGCAACAAAACTGATAAGAGGCATGGAGGAGATCAGCTATGAGGAAAGATTAGAGGAACTGAATTTATTCTCTCTTGAGAAGAGAGAATACATCAACATGTATTAATATATCAGTGGTTCATATAGTGAACTCGGTGTAGAGTTATTCACCCTGAGGTCATCACAGAGAGGACAAGGGGGCACTCTTTACATCTGGAGGAAAAGAGATTTAATTTCCAATAGGAAATGTTTCTTCACAGTGAGAGCTGTGAAAATGTGGAATAGACTCCATCAAGAGTTGGTTCTGGCCAGCTCAGTGAATTGCATTAAAAACAGCCTGGATTCTTTGCTAGATACACAGAATATAACTGGATACTAACACTTATAGGTAAAGTTGATCCAGGGAATATCCGATTGCCTCTCGGGGGATCAGGAAGGAATTTGTTCCCCTACAGGAGCAAATTGGATCATGCTTTGCTGGGTTTTTTATTTGCCTTCCTCTTGATCAACTGTGGGTATAGGATTATAGCTTTTTATTTTTTTGGTTAAACTGGATGAACTTTTTCCTTTTTTCAGACAGACAATGTAACTATAGGACCAGCTAGCTCAGGCTCTCAGCTGATGAGAGGCTGAGCTGGGTGCCGGTCCAAGCTCCTGGGTGGATCCCATGGTCAGGATCTTTCCCCAGCCTGGATTGGTTGAGAGTTGTCAGTGGAAAGTGGACTTTAGCCCGCTGTTGGTTAAAAACAGGTCACAGGATTGTAGAACGAACTGCACTCCTGTGATCCATAGGAGAAGTACAGGCAAATGAACTTTGGCTGTACTTCTCCTTTAAACTGAGATTCTGTTCAGAGCACTGGACTAACCCCAGACACAACATATTTTGTATGTTTATTTTCAAATAAGCATAAAAAAACTATATCTCTAATGTTCCTCCACAAAATACACCGGCACGGTTTTAGAGCGGACAAGGATAAGGAATGAAAAGTTCCATTATGTTCACACTTGAAGGATCATGCTGAGCCCCAGGAGAGTGAATAAACATTCTGAGACACATATTGCAGCCAGCAAGATCTCACAGGGAGCAGAATTCATTGTGGCATTGCTTATCACTGGTCTCTGCTCTATCACGTCACTTAATAAACCATCATGCCACACAACATTTCTATCTGCCCAAGCTAACCATCCGATTGCACCAAAATTCTGATCAATTCAGCCTCCTCAAAAATGTGCAATAATTGAATATATTTATTTTGTAAAACAGCCCCTCTGTGAAGCATGTGTGGCAAATAATCTGTGCATTCAGCACATACTGAAATGAGACTGTGATATTTCCCCATTCTGGAACAGATCAAACGGATACATTAGATTGCCAGTTCATTCAGAGCACAGGGACTGGTGTGACTGGATCCATGCACTCTGTATAGAGAGGCGTTATAAATACAGGACATAAATAAAGGCACTGATTGTTATGAGCCTGCAATGATGCTTAAGTTCACCCACTTTGGCCCTATCCCTAATTTGTTTTAAAGCAATCATTTGCCAACACAACGGCAAACGACAGCCACCAACACCAAAATTTACCAAAATTTCACCCAAGTATGCCTGTCACAGTCCATCTTTATCACAAACTGACTTATCAGTGATATATTAGTGAGTCCATTAATGTCTGTCCTTTAGGGCCCATTCATAGTTGAATGTTGTAGCAATGTGTGATCAAATGTTTTTTCACAATGCTGTGTTATATATTGTGAATGGCACTCCAATGCACTGTACAATACAGTCCAACACACTGGGTCATGTAAATTTTATCATCGGTTGTGGTGCACTGGCAGACCATTCATAATGAACAGGCTGCTTAAATGCAATGCATGTTAATGCAAGCCTTAACCAGCATCATTGAGTGCTTGAGTGTGAAACCAGTCCACAGTCTATCAATGAGTCCATGTCCAGGAGTTTTACCATATAAGAAATGACTGATTTTAAATATAGTGTTAAAAATAGGAATATGGTGATGGTGGGACTAGTATACCTGTTTATCAGCTTTATTGTATTTCTTCACAACACATTTTCTTTTTATTATAAATAGTCGTGTTTTTTAAACAACACAGCATTAAGTCAGATAAATCCCTGAGCAAATCAACCTGCTTCAAAAGTTTCAACTGGTGCTGCAAAATTCAGGATTGGCCTCACCAACTTCTAAAGCCTTCGTATTGGTCCAGTAATGTTTTTGGAGGCTACGCATGGGGTAGGACCAGGTTCAATTTACATGCAAGTCAATATTTTTCCTGTAAAAAATCTTCAGCTGCCTGTATCCAATAATTCTTTGCACATGGGAATTTCACTGAACCTTACCGTTCAGTGATCTTTACACCTGGATTCTTCTATTGGCCTCCTGCTTTAGTATGTTCAAACTCCAGGCTGAATCGTAATTTCCTTTTTTGCAGTAGGGGTATGTGATCCTACATCATAATTCATGTAATATGCGGAGCAGCTCCGGCCTGCGCTGCATATACAGGGCAGTCTTGATTCTCAATAAAGGTCAGTGCAGGCTCTCCCACACCAACCAAGTCATTGTTTCAAGTAATACCATCAAGTGTTTAACACATACCTTTTACCATACTCTTTAGAGTAACATTCTTAAAGTAAAACTGTAAGTTCTCTCCTCACGAGCTGTCACGCCGACAGCTCGAGAGGAGAGGAAAGCCGGTCATTGGCATTCCTCGGAGGGGACAGGTACACAGATCATCAGGGCACTGATGATCAGTGTGCCCTGATGATCAGTGTGGCCTCAGAAATGCCACCTGCCAGTGTCCATCAGTGCCACATATCACTGCCTACCAGTGCCCATCAATGCCAGCTGTCAGTGCTCATCAATGCCACCTGCCAGTGCCCATCAGTGCCACATATCACTGCCTACCAGTGCACATCAATGCCACATATCAGTGCCCATCTGAGCTGCCTTTCAGTGTCACCTATCAGTGCCAGTCAGTGCCACCTATCAATGCCAGTCAGTGCTGCCAGTCAGTGCCGCCTATCAGTGCCAGTCAGTGCCACCTATCAGTGCAGCCTATGAGTGCCATATATGAGTGCTGCCTTTCAGTGCCCATCAGTGATGCCTGTCAATGCCCATCAGCCTCCTCATCAGTGCCACCTATCAGTGCAGCCTATCAGTGCCCATCACTGCAGCCTCATTAGCACACATCAGTGAAGGAAAAAAAATCACTTCTTTACAAAATTTTATAACAAAAACTAAGAAAAAAAACATGTTTTTACTTCAAAATTTTCTGTTGTTTTTGGTCTGTTTAGCAAAAAATAAAAAACCCAGAGGTGATTAAAAACCACCAAAAGAAAGCTCTGTCTCAAAAAAATGATAAAAATTTCATATGGGTACAGTATTGTCATTCAAAGTGTGACAGCGCTGAAAGCTGAAAACTGGCCTGGGCAGGAAGGGGGTATAGGTGCCCTGTAGGCGTGTGGTTAATGGGGCCTAAACCCATTACATCAATATGTTGCAAGCCAACAGCCTATCCACAAAAGCTTTATAACATGTCAAATATTTTATCCACCAATGAACAGCGATGCACTTTTCTGGCTGTTTATCTCTCACTGAAGACCTAAATCAAAACAATTTATAACACACAATATGATACAATTACAATAACGATCACCCACTCAAAATGTTGGAGAGAATACAATCATTTACGGACTAAATTACCCTTTATTGCAAGGTGCGTGAGGCACATTACTTCTTCTGAAGGAAGGCACATTTAAAAAGGAATGTGTGGTCTTGTTTTAATTTAAATAGGTAATTTCATGCTGAACAATAAAATATTGGTTATTATATTGCAGTATTTGATCGTACAGAAATATTGATGCAGTTAAGGAAACTGTAGCTGCAGGAGGGTTTGCAGACTACCATGGTTGCATCTGTAGCTTAGCAGCTTTTTTTCCATTGAAATGATGCACACATTCTGAAGGCCAATGACTGATCCACTGGATCAGACTTATGCAAGTAGACTCTGCCAGAACAAAAGACCAGAAATACAATTAAATGCTTTTCATTTTTATTTCCATTTATTATTGTAATATCCTTTTCTGTAAAGATTTGAATAAAAAAATGTTTTTTGCTCTTTCAGGAATGTCACTATATTGTAACCTCTGTTATATCCCTGACTGGTGTTAGAGCATGTATTACAGACATTTCTTAGCAATCAATTGTTAAACAGATACTGCGAATGGTTTGCGTTTCTATTAAAAACATGCAGTTCAAACTACTCTATGTGAAAGGGTTGATTGCAGATTAACCAAACCCAGTCGATCACTCTCAATCTGCTAGCATGTCAATTGTTGTCCCACAAGCTGGTAAATCTGTGCAGGGGGAGGCTGAGAGTACCACTGTCCCACTGCCCACCTCCTGTATCTCTTGGTGCAATACGTCAGGCACAGGAGAAGGCAAATATGGGTGTATAGTGGGGTTAAAGCAATGTTAGAATTATTTTTCTATGCAACAGAAGCTTTGACTACTATGATCCTGGAAGAATATACCCAATATTCAGAATATAGCAAAGTGAATGAGCACAGGCAGACATTTGAGATGGGGTCGATTTATGACTTCTCCATTACAGGAAGGCAAAGTGCAAATCCATTACACACACAGGGTTTAAGCAACCCTCATTTTTAAACTCTGCTCTGTCAGACGTCATTCCTGACTTGTTTCAGAGAGCAGGGGACAGGGCTGCCATCTTTATCCTCACATCACTACCCAGTAAGTCACTTCCCTGGAATATCTAATATCAGAACAGGTTCAAGGCCAGTAGCAAAAAAGGATAATGATGACAATCCCAGAAATTGCATCTCCAAAAAAGTCAGCAACCCTTTCTGATATGACTGTAAATATATTTTAAAGGTTGTCCTTGCCACAAACCAATTAAAAAATGCTCAGTACACAGCACAAAAATACACATTAACTAGACTAATACAGAGGTTTGATAGATCACTTACCCTCGTGCCTATAGGTGAGCTCCTGGCATCCTGAAAAATACAGGCACACTAGCGCGCACAGACAAATGAAGAAGGAGAAGTATAATATAAGTAGGAAATCTTCCATTGTTTGCTGGTGATGAACGGCTACTTCAGTCCTTAATATATTCCATCTAATGGTGAGCTCAGTTCCTGCGATGGTTGGAGCAATAACTTGCAGAGCCTCATAAAAATGCTGTGATAATCATTTACACATTAAGCACCTGGGGTGCCGCTGGCCACTGAAAGCCAGGCAGATTAAATAATGATTATGAAAATGACAGAGAGCAGCCCCTCCCTTACAAGGGACTGGGCGCAGGTAGGCTGCCTAGTTCCATATGTGTCCCCGAGTCCCCAGACTATTCCATTTGAGCTCTGTACAGCTAGCAACAGTAACCCGGAGCTGCCAGCCAGTGTGCACAAACAGCAAAACTAAAAGTGCACAGTAAACAAACACAGCTCAATAATCTCTACTGATTCACACCTAAAAGCTTTTACTCCAATTACCTGCCACTGTACAATACAGAGGTCTATTGAGAAAACCTTAAACTGATATTTTGTTACATTTTATTTTCACAGTTTCACCTACATCTTCAACCCTGCCTGTGTCTCCTAGATTGTAAGTTCCAAGGAGCAGGGCCCTCCTATCCCTATTGAACTGTATTGTTGCTGTATTGTCTCCCATTATATTGCAAAGCGCTGAGCAAACTGTTGGCGCTATATAAATCCTGTATAATAATAAGTCATGCCATATGGTTGCAGTGTGATGTGTTTTAGACACCTTCTGCATGTTACACATATTTTCAGTGTTTATAGAGAAAGGTAGTGCCTGTTTTTAGTTTAAAAATATAAAAACATTTGTTTGCCATTGCAGAACTTTATGCTTTTAATATTTTCTTTTCAAATAAAATCATATATCCATATAAATTAGAAACAATAGCAATTATTTAGCCAGCCCTTATAATGTGCTTTTAAAGTGCTTAAAGTGTTACTAATCCCAGGACCCTGCATTCATTATATCCAGTCTTCCACAGTACACAGAACAAATGCTGTTATTTTAGTAACTATAAACTGCTAAATAACTTTTCTCATCTGCTGTATATAGCAGTTTTATGACTTTTATCACTGGTTAATCTTGTAGGGGGAATTTTCATTCTCCTCTGACTGTCCTATGAGGCTGTATAACCCCTGACCCTTTGTCCGGACAACACTGATTGGCCCTGTACCGATCGCAGGCATCCTTGCAAAGAAAAAAAAAAAATCTAGCAATACACACCAAACTGAGCATGTACAGACTTGCCACTGCTGCTTTAACTATGGCAGATGGATTTGGGACAGCAAAAGAAGGGGAGGATCAGCAAACACAGGATCAAACAGCCTGTTTACACAGTGCGGAAGATTAACCCCTTAGGTTCCACAGTGAGTAGAACAAGCATACTTTACTATATATACAGACTGATTTTACTATTGTGGGTTTAGTAACATTTTAATTATACAGACTATGGATATTAAAGTAGATGAAAAGTCAACTTATATACAGCAGCCCAAATGATACTACAGTTTGTTTAGAAACACCATGATATTTATGGTCAATAAAAGACATTTACCTTTTTGTACTTGTTTACTTGTGGTCATATGACCACTAACTCTCTGGCTCTTCTCCCTGGTGGAGTTTTTCAAGCTTTCATGAGTACCGCAGTTTGACGAATGCAGAGCATGCAGAATGAAGCATTAATTATTACGCATTCAAAATGGAGCAAGTATCCGAATTCTTGCATTGACAATTGGATGCAGTAGCTTCCAGGTACCGACAATGCCAAGGGGTGAAGCTATTTGTATAGAGGCTTTAATACAGCTATGGCATCTCATCCAAAGATCCAGCTGAGAAGCACCCAGATATCAGATGGAAAGACTTCAACACAATACAGCTATGATATCACATCCACTGATCCAGCTCACCAAACACTCAGCAAGTGTCAAAACGTACAGCAAAAAAAAAACACAGAGTAGAGCTCATAGCGTAGTATTTATGAGCAATTCAATTTATGAAATAAAAAGCCACTTACAATACCGTCTGCAGAGATCGGCATAAGCACAGCATAAATTGAAAAACAGCGCAGTTGTGAGTCCTGCCAGCACGCATGATGATGTAACTGTTCAGAAGCTTCACCCAACGCATTTCTCCTTGAATGACATCTTCTGAGCCCGATCAGTGGATGTGATACCATAGCTGTATTGTGTTGAAGTCTTTCCACCTGACATCTGCTGAGTGCTTCTGAGATGGATCTTTGGATGAGATATCATAGCTGTGTTACAGCCAAGTGTATGTAGATCTCAGTTTATGAAGATCTTTTTTTCCTGGTAAGGAGCAGGGGAGCATTGGGGTTATGCACTAATAACACACATTGAAGCCTGCAGTGACAAACATTTTTGATGTTTTATATTTTCACGGTGGATGATATAAAGTAATTATGGACTTAATGAGCATGTCCTTGTATATGTGTTTGTCCTGAGTTTAGTCATAATGTGATGCATTCCTTTTGGCATTTTATGAATTTATTTTTGAATTTATATTGATAAGCACACCTGCCTTTTTGCATAGAGTATATGTAATTTCTTTTAGTATTTGGACATTATAGAATGCTGCTATTGTTATCCTTACACTAAACATAAGGGTTTCTTTATTATATTTGTATAGAGGCTGTATAGCATTGTCTTGCTATCTAGCTCTCTAACTCCCTTGTTCTTGTTCTCATCTTGCTCTTTAGCTCCCTTGTTACCTCCTCCCATGCTTGCCTCCAGGACTTTTCCAGAACCTCTCCCATCCTCTGGAACTCCCTACCCCAGTATGTCCGGTGAGCCCCTACCCTGTCTGCCTTTATGCAATCCTTGAAAACTCATTTATACAGGGAAGCCTATCTCACCTCCACCTAAAAACTGTACTTAAGTTACCTCCATCAGATCATCCCCTGCAGCTATTATCTTCTGTACCACCTCTCCTTCCCTTTAGATTATAAGCTCCATAAGCAGGGCCTTCCTCTTCCTTCTGTATTGAACTGTATTGCAACTGTACTGTCCCCCTTTATATTGTAAAACACTACACAAACTGTTGGCACTATATAAATCCTGTATATTAATATTTGATGAACCAGAACTAGGGCAATAAGCAGTGAAGTGGCAGGATCAACCAGGTAATTTAGGACTATAAACAGAGGTTAATGTAA